AATGCCCTTGTTCTTTCTGCTACTGCTTTCACTGCCTCCCCCACAAGCCTGGACAGAGAGTTCACCCTCCTTGGTGCATGCACAGAGGAGGCATGGTGTGCTGCTTTCCAATCAAGCCCACCATAAGAGTGGGGACTGGAAACAACCCCTACACCTTGCTTCTCAGGAGCCCTGATTTCCAGCCCTACAGCAGGACCTGTGCTCCCATACCGGTGCCCGCAACTCCTCTCTGCTACAACCAGCCCTACTCCACTCCCAGGGGCCTCCAAGAGCTGGCAGAATGTTACCACAGGGCTTAAGGTGGGTGGATGTTGGGCCTGTCTCTGCCGTCATCACCTCCCTGAGGCAGGACTGCCGGAGACTCTACTCCAGCTCCATCCAGATGGCTTTCCAAGGCTACCAGCCCATAGCCAGCCATGGAAAGAAGGACAAGAGTGAGCGGCCACCTTGAGTCCAGGTGAGGGGAAGTCTGGCCCACTCTCAGGAAGGGAGGCTTTCTGCTCACCAGAGCCCCACTGGGAGGCTAATGAGGGCCACCTGCCTGCTTCTCTCCTTGGCTTTGGCTTTCAAGAGATTTTGAATCAGCTGCCCTGGTTTCAGATCTCAGCAATGCCCCTTGTAATCTGTCTCCATGGGAAATTTGCTGGACCTTTCTGACCTCAGTTTCCCACTCCACAAAATGGAGAGATTTTGGTGATGCTGGACTCTTGAGAAGTGGCGCAGATGTCCTTTCTGCAAACTGAGTGCTACTCCCCTGCTAAGGACTTCTCCAGCCCTGCTTTCTCACCATCCTGAAGACATATTACTGGGCCACGGGTGTGGAATTCAGCTGCTCAGAGGAAGACTCAGTGTAGAAATATACAGCAATTCCACACACCCTGTCAGCCACGCATGGCCCTGGGGAAGATGAGGCTATAGGTGAGAGTGGGGTGAGCCAGAGCTTGTGGATCCAGGTGCTGGGAGGGATGAGGAGATGGGGCTGCAAGGGAGGCGTGGTTTTTTATGGTGCCGCCAGGGGGCGCTCTGCACCAAGTCAAATTCCAGGTCGGCTCCCTTCCTGGTAGAGGTCAGCTTCACGGGGAAACATTTCCTGAGCAGAAGCTGCTTCAGGCTCTTAGCAGGCCAAGGACAACGGCCATCAACGCATCATCCCCAGAGGCACCAAGGAGCCAGGGAGCCTGGAATCTGGCTGATGATGTTAAGTCCAGGGCAGCTTCCTCCTGGTCCTGCCCGCCTCCCATGCCCGCTTGTCACATGGGGGACTTGGGGGCAGGGCCAAGGCCGCAGCCTGAGTGAGAAGAGGGGGCAGGGAACCCGAGCACTCCCTCCAAGCGGTGCCCTGAGGAAGGATCCCCAGGCAGGCTCCCTGCAGCAGAGATGGAGGTGTCGAGCTCCCGGTACCAGGTGAGCAACACCCAGGTGGGACAACACCCAGGCAGCTTTCCTGGGAGCCGGGTCCACCCCCGCCCCCCTACCCCCCGCCAGGATCCAGATGCCCACCCTGTAATGGGGTGTTCATTACCCCATGCTCACACAGGGCGGAGCCGGGGGCCCTGTGGGAGATAATGAGGAGCCATAGGATGAACACGTGGCTAGGCCAGTCCGGGATAATGGCGGCCATCTTCCCATTCTTGAGGGATGAGGCGGCAGTGAACAGAATAATCTGGGTTTGAACCCTCACCCCCACCATGTTAAACTGTGTGACTGGGGTTGGCTCACAATTCCACTGTAATACTCACCACAGGGTGCTGTTGGGTGAGGGTGTTTGGTCCACAGTCGGCACCTACTAAGTGCTAACTGACATTATTGATAATGCCTATGGTGGGGTGATGCCTGCTGCAGGGCTTTATGGCCAGAGTCCAGGAAGACCTGGTGTTTCTAGCAGCGCCCCCACAGTGAGTGTGTCCAGTGCCAGCTGCTACTGGCTGAGTCATCCCCAGCTCCTGTCCATGACTGCCCTTCACAGTGCTGCTTGGCAGCTGGGAGCTTTGCCCCACATGTGCTGAGCCTGGCTTAGACACGAAGGTGTGGTCGCTCTTAAATGCCACTACAAAGAAAGGTGGGTGAGGAGCAGGCAAGGACTGGGGTGGGTGATTGGAGAGTGCTCTTGTTCCTCTGCCCCTGAGGTTGCTTTCTCCTGGCTGGTAAGCAGAGCCCACCATGTTCTTCCACCCATGTTCTCCCCAAAGTAGATGCCCACGCCCTGGGGCCTTGTCTTCCCCACTACAGGCTGAGGTTAGCGAAGGGCAGTGTTTCAACCAGAGCCCTCCTGGTACAGTCATGCCCTGCTCCACCCCCCAACACACACACACACCCCAGGTAGTGGGGGCAGTGAGGGGCAGGGACCTGCTCAGGGCACAGCCAGGACAGAGGCCCAGCTCACCGCCCCCCAGGGATGCCTCTTTCCTCTATAACGGCAGCTTGGGTGGTCGACCTGGACAGGAGAAGGATAGAGGTTAGGAAAAGAAGTAGGGCAGTCAACATGCCCCAAAGGAGGAATTAACATTTACACACACAGACACACACACACACACACACACACATCTGGGTGTCAGTCTCGTTTATCTTACCCTTAGAAAAACCTGCAGTGGGCATTGTATTTTTGGAGCCCTCCTCCCCTCTGCTTCATCATAGTGCCCTGGCATCTATTCCAGCATCTCCCTCTTTGCTACACCAGCCCAGATGCCTGTGGAAGCCAACTGCACACAGCTCCTGGGATGAATCCAGGTTGCTTTAGCCAATCAGTACATCTCATTACCCAGCCATCAGGACTGGTTCAGGGACAGATTGGTTGCCCAATGAAGATCATGAGGCAAGAGAAAATGTTTGGGAGACTGGGGCGGGGTGGGGGGAGCTTCCCAGCACTTCTGAGAGAGACACTAGAAGATATGTATTTTGTTTTTGTTTTTTACTATTAGACATGAAGGAGAACGTATTAGCTCCTGAAGCTGGTTTCCAGCATTTTTCAACAAGGCAATCTTGATTAGGATGAAGCAAACACTCCAGGAAGCAGACAAACTGAGGGAGGTGTGTGTGGGGGGGTAGACTTGGTTGACATGGTCACACTGCTGGATCCAGCCATGCCTGAAGTCCATATGTGAGGTCTTCCCCACTAAAGGAGCTAATAAATTTCTCCTTATGTTTTAAGCCAATTTTAATTGTCTTTTTTGTTTGTTTCCAGCAACTGAAAGGTTCTTACCTGATTATCCTATTTTTACCACAGATAAAATAGATACCAAGAAGGTATAAATGTAGGGTTGCCAGATAAAATACAGGACACCCAGTTAAATCTGAATTTCAGATCAACATTGAAAACCTTTATAGTAGATTTTATGTCCCATGCAATATTTGGAACACATTTGTACTAAAAATATAATTGGGCATTCCATGTTTTTATTTGCTAAATCTGATAATCCTGTTTTCAGTAGCACATCCAAATTATACTACCAGAAAAAGGAAAGACCTGGACATGGATGTGGAGTTTTTAATTCTAAAGCTCCTACTACACCTTACTCTCACTCCCTATTCCCCTTCATCACCCTCCCACTCCTGTGATTAGAGAATACAGACAAATGTCACTCTAGGTCCCTAATGACCCCCAAGGTCTGTCCTAGCTCCAAGTTCTTAGGCTTGACTCTCCACTCCTCTACTTTTTGTGGCTCTGGCTCCATGTCTGCTGTGTGCTTTGGGGCTCCATCTCTTTCCACTTTGCACTTTGCACCAGCTTCCCTTTGCAAGCCAAACCACTGTTCGCTTGGACCCAAGGACATCCCATCATCTCTGGTTTGGGGCTTTGCTGTTCTCTTCAACCAGTTAGGCTCTCACCCTCAGGCTTCTGCTCCCGGCTTTCCATGTGACTCCCAGAGGCACAGTCTGGCCCTCCTCTGTACTGTCTCTCTGCTCCCCTCAGAGAACACCAGCAGCAGGGGCTGTCCCCTGATCACCAAGGCCTGGAGCAAGACACTACAACCCCCACACAGCCTACTGACTGAGTGCTGTCCAGCAGCCTGAGTCCCTGCTTTCCCAGCAGCCCACAGCAGGTGGTGAAAGGATCCAACCACCGTAAGTGTTGGTGATGCTTGTTTCATCTGTGTAACGGTGGTTGATTCTATAATCACAAAGGCTGTACAATTTCAACACAGCAGGGGCAGGGGAGCAAAGGAGATCGGGAGGGTGGTGGGGAGAGCATTCTGGGGGTGTCCTCCCAATGGTTACTCCTCACCTCTGTAAACTCCCTATGTACATGCTGAAGTGGGGTAACACTGCCTCCTTGGAATTGCCTCTCCCTTATGTTGCCATAACACTGTGTCAATGATGTTGATGGCTGCATAAACATCACTTGGCTGTTCATAACCGGGATATTTCTTTTTAATTTTCCACAACTATAAATTATGCAGTAATGATGCTGAATTTCCAGCAATGGAATGAGAAGCTGAGCTGTTAGCAGCCAGTGGACCAGGGTGAGGGTCTGCCACTGGGTGCTGTGGGAGCTCTGTCTCTCCATCTAGGGGTGGGGAGAGTCTCCTTACTAGCAGGACTATCGTACACACAAGATGAGGGTCATATATGGCACCTGGGAATCATGCTATAGGTTTGCAGGTTGCCCTTGATGCCCACTTTCAAAGCTGTCTGGAAAACACAGCTCCGTCTAAATCTAGGTCAGCTCATTGAAAAGACCAAGCATAGCATCTGACATGTGTGGAGGGCATTGCCGTTGTACCCCCACTGTCTTGCTGATACTCCGTTCAGTCTGAGAGGTCACTGTCATCACTGTTCCCATTTCACAGACTGGAGGAGCTGTGACTTTCATAGACCAGAAGCCCCATGACTTGCCCAAGGCTTTTCCAAGATCCTTTGGGTGTACCTGCATTTAAAGCACCAGTTCCCCACAGCGAGGCTTCTTATTTGAAATCCAAGAAAACACCAGATAAAGGGAATTCTAAATATGTCTTTTCTATAGATGCTGATCTCCTGTTACTGGAGAAAAGGAATTAGCTTGTCTGCTTGAGGATGTGGTTGGTTCTTTATAAAAAGGATACACAAGAAATTTGTACACAGACTATCAGTGTCATTATGCTGCCGACAGCTTCCAGCAAAAGAAGAACGTTTGCAGCCAGATATTTTGGTAAGAATTTTATTGTATTCCATGTGGAGTATGATTTGCTCTTGGCTTCTCATTTGAGGGAGGGGCCCACGCACAGCCACCGGAAGGAGCCGTCTTGGTTTTGTGGGCTGAGAACACCTAGGGGCATCTGGGGTTGGGGCTCAGGCACTGGCCGATGGCAAGCCCTCAGACCTGAATTAGGGAGCTGCTTCATGTCTGCCTGAAAAAAACAGAGGCTTCAAGGTGGCCACCATTGTTGAAGGACCTGTGCTCCAGTGACTCGGGGCTCTGAGGACATTCAGAGACCGTGGGTGCCTGAGACAAGTCCTTCTCAGGGAAGGCTGTGCTTCCTAAGGCTGCTTGCTCTGTGGCCTGCTTGGAAACAGTCAAGCCAGGCAGTTAATTCAGAAACAGTGAGGGTGGGTCCATAGTGCCTAACATAGCGCCCAGGAGGTAATGTAAACAAAGTGAAACCCTCTGGGTGGGGCCATGCAGGTGCTGGCTGGCTGGCTGGGTCACACAGGTATTAGTTGAGTGGTTGTGCAACTATGTTTCGTGCTCGCTGGATGTGGGCACCTTCGGGTGATGACTGAATCCCGGATACTAGTGGGAGAAACACCGTCAGTGGTCCTCAATGTGCCTGTACATTAGAATCATAAAGGAGCTTTTGAAAATCCCCAGTTATTTTTAAATACTGGAGATTTGGGTGATACTTGGAGATTGGTCTGGGTGGGTCCCAGACATCAACTTATTTATTAATTCCCAGGTGAACCTAATGTTCAGACAGGGCCAGGAATCTCCAGACCAAGCCCAGGTCAGCCTCAAACTGCACATAGCAGCCTTTGGTGGGGTCTGAGTGGGTATCTGTAGGGGTGAGGAGTCAAGCTCTATGTTCATAAACCGGGTCGCCTGGATCCAACTCTAAGCTCAGCACTTCTCAGGATGTTAAACCTCTCTGGACCTCCCTTCCTACAGTAGAGGGTGGGGAGCTGCTTAGATTAGCCTTTAACTCTGTTCAGTCTTAATGTATTGGGGTCTGACAAATCTCTAGATATTTTCCTCTGAGCTGGGCTTATAGCAGCATCTGGTTTGAAAGGAAAACTCACTTGCTTTTGTGGAAGGTTCCAGCCACCAGATATCCATGTCCCCTGGCTTCAGGGTACAGATGCTAATCATTTGAGAAAAAGACAAATGAGACATTGCACGAGATACCTGAATTTAAAGAATTTGATTGCATTAATTGTTATTGCAATGAAATTCACACAGTAAAATGAGCCATTTTAAAGAGAACAGCTAATTCAGTAGCAATTCATACCTTCATAGTGTTGTACGGCCATCACCTCTCTCCAGTTCCAAATGTTTTCATTACCCCAAAAGAAAACCCCATACCCAAGCAGTTGCTTCCCACCTCTCCCAGCCGTGGCATCCACTAATCTTTCTCTCTCTTTGGACTTAACCTATTCTGGATATTTCATATAAATGAATTCATATGACGTATGTCTTTTTGTGACTGGCTTCTTTGACTTAGAGTAGTAATAATATCTTTAAGGTTCACCCACATTGTAACATGCATTGGTACTTCATTACTTTAGACTGAATTTTTAAATCATATCTGACCACAAATGGCTTGGCATCTTTGTGAAAAAGGACCAGCAATGCCGTTCTATGGAAGGAAAGGAGAGTTAGCACAGGGGAAATGGCTTCTCCTCCCATCCTTGGTCTCTGGGAGACCATCTTCCTTCTGTCTCTTTTCCCTCTCTCTGTTTCTGTCTGGCTCTCTGTCTGTCTCTGTCTCTCTCTCCCTCTCTCCCCACTCCTCTCCCCTCCTCTCTCCTCTCTTCTTCTCCCTCTTCCCATAGATTCTGGAGATTGTTGGGGAACTTGAGCTTGTTTTTAACTGAAATTTTCAGGGCATTAGGACAAATGGAAGATTTTTTGGAGTTAAATTGTGCTGCCCTACTTCATTTCACTTTGCCTACAATTTTGTCAAGCCCAGGACCTTGCAACAGGAAGCCAGAGGGCAGCCAGCACAGGTCTGGATCTCTTGCTAAGAAGCCTGGTGCTGAAACTCTTACCCAGCCATGGGTACCCTTGGCTCCAGCACTTGGCTTTTTCTGCGGCAGTAACCTGCCCGTTCAGACCAGCTGTGGCCTCTCTGCTCACTAGCCTCCCTACCTTCTGCTCTGACCCTGGTCTGGCCTGCCTGACCCTCTCCCAAGGGCTGGTGGCTTCTCCCTGTAGCTGACCCTCCTGAGCACTCCCCACCATGAAGAGCCACTGCATGTCTGAATCATAGTGGGGAGAAAGATGGTGGCCTCTGTCTGTACCTGGCCAGAGTGTCCAGAATGAAGGAGAAAGCAGCTCTGAATCCAGCCATTCCTATAGGTCCCCAACTTCCTGGCCCACAATCTAAGCTTCAGAACGAAGGCCAGGGAGCAGCTTGGAAAGGGCATCCTCCATCACCCCCCCTTCCTTGTGCCTCCCCAACACTGTGGCTTGACTCACTTGGCCTTTCTCCAGAGCATAGCCTCTGCCTCCCTGCTGTGGATGGCAGAGGTGTGAGGAGACCACGAGAACCTAGGTAAGGAGGCAAGAGTATGTCCTGGGAGAATAAGAGACTCAGAAAGAGGAGAATTGCAGTTATAGGAAGAGGGCTGCTGGTTGACAGTGGAAAGGTACGTTGGTGTCATGTTGAGTAATCTGGATTCTTTCTCATGAGCAATAGGAGCTATTGCAAGTTGTAAGCATAGGACTGATCGGATCAGAATTGCTTATAGGAAGAATGACAGCAGCAGGATATGAAGTCACCTCTCACCTCTTCAATGGTCTTGCTGATTCTACCCTTGGCCCTTCCATCTCTTCTCAATGTTGCAGCTGGAATAAGGCTCTTAAAACCTAAAGCTGATTAGATCTGTCACTGACTCAACACATCCCAATGGATTTCCATGTCATTCTTTCATCTAGCCCACCATTACTCATCACATCATCTCCTTGTACATCCCCCCACTCACTTGGACCAGCAATGCTGGCCTCCTTGCTGTTCCTCAGATGTGCCAGGCTTTGCATGTGCTCTGCCTTCTCTCCAAAGCACCTCTCCCCACAGATATTTACATAGCTCACAAACTCACTCCTTCAGACTTTTACCCAAATATCATCTTGTTTTGAGGCTTTCACTGACTGCCTGGCTGCGTCAAAATGGGATAGGTTACACAGTAACTGGGTCACAGGTAACCTGCCCATCATAGTGGCTCAAAGACCAAGGCTGATGGAACAACCATTATCTCAAGTGGTGCTGGTGGCCAGGCCAGAGGACAAAGGGAGAGACTGAGCTCTAGAAGCATCTCACATCAGCAATGAAATCCTCAATCTGGAAGTCACACAAATCACAAGCCATTCACAATTCATTACTCCAGCTACCCACCAGGGGTCCAGGAAGTCGTCCTACCACATGCCTAGAAGGAAAGGATTGAAAGTATTTAGCAAACCACACCTATCACTGCACTAATTGCAATCCCACCCAGATACTCCTGTCCTTTCCTGCCTTATTTTTCTTCATAACATTTGTTATTGTCTCATATATTTACATTGATGTGTAAGTTACATATGATAAAATTCACCCATTCTAAGTGTACAAGTAAATGATTTTTAGTAAATTTATAGAGTTGCACAACCGTCACCATATTCCAGTTTTAGGACATTTATGTCACCTGGAAATGTTCCCTCATGCCATTGAAATTAATTCCCACTCCTACCTCCAGCTTGAGGAAAGCATTGATTGGCTTCCTGTATCTATAAATTTGCTTTTTCTGGACATTTTATATATGTGGAATCACACAGTATGTTCATTTGCATCAAACTTATTTCATTTAGCATAAGATTTTTTTCTTCAAAATTATGTTTTAACTTCAATCTTTTATTAAAGATTTTTATTAAAATATCACTAACATACAATATTATATTAGTTCCAGGTGTACCCTATAGTTATTCAACTTTTATATACCTAAAGAAGTGATTAAAGGGCCAGCCGAGTGGCGCGTTGGTTAGGAGTTGGCTTGGGATGCGAGCTTTGAGCAGCAGGGCCCCGGTTCGGATCCCACATGGGCCAGTGACGCTGCGCCCTCTACAGCTAAGATAGTGAACAACAGCTCAACCTGGAGCTGGGCTGCCATGAGTTGCCGGAGACAATGTAGGCTGCAGTGGGGTTGGCCGGCAGCTGGCATGCACTTTCGTGAGCTGCTGTGAGCCACTGTGAGTGGCCGTCCAATGGCCGGCAAGCAACTGCCTCACCTGGGAAAAGCGCAATGATAATACCAACATGGGCCAGTGAAGCAACGTCCTCCACAACTAGACTGAAGAATAAAAGGACAGCAACTTGTCTGTCCCCCTCCTCCAATTCCCCAATAAAATCTTTAAAAAAAAAAAAAAAGAGGAAGTGATCACTGTAAGTCCAGCAACCATCTGACACCGTACCATGCTATCACAATATCATTTACTGTATTCCCTATGCTGCACATTACACCCCCATGAATTATTTTTTTTATACGTGGACATTTGAACCTCTTATTCCCCTTCACCTTCTCCCCCCTTTTTAATTTTTCAATTACAGTTGACATTTAATATTATTTTTTTATTAATTTCAGGTGTACAGCATATGGTTAGACATTTATATACTTTAAGAAGTGATCCCCTTGGGCTGGCTGAGTGCCGCGTTGGTTGGAAGTTGGCTTGGGGCGCCAGCTCTGGGCAGCAGGGCCCTGGTTTGGATCCCACATGCGGGCCAGTGATGCTGCACCCCCTACAGCTGGGATGGTGAACGACAGCTCGACCTGGAGCTGGGCTGCCATGGGTCGCTGGTGACGGCATGGGCTGCGGTGGGGCTGGCCAGCCGCTGGCATGCGCCTTCATGGGCTGTCATGGGCCGCCATGGGCCACCATGGGTGGCCGTCCAATGGCCGGTGATGACTGCCTCTCCTGGGAAGAGCGCAATGATGGTGCCAACATAGGCCAGTGGGGCGACGTCC